ATCCCCTGGGGGACTAACATGAAAGGGAAAGGAGTCCAGGAGAGCTGGCTGTATTTCAAGGAATCCCTGTTGAGGTTACAGGGACAAACCATCCCGATGTGTTGAAAGAATAGTAAATATGGCAGGCCTCCAGCTCAGCTTAACGGTGAAATCCTAGCGGATCTTAAACATAAAAAAGAAGCTTACAAGAAGTGAAAGGTTGGACGTATGACCAGGGAAGAGTATAAAAATATTGCTCGGGCATGTAGGAATGAAATTAGGAGGGCCAAATCGCACCTGGAGCTGCAGCTAGCGAGAGATGTTAAGAGTAACAAGAAGGGTTTCTTCAGGTATGTTGGCAACAAGAAGAAAGCCAAGGAAAGTGTGGGCCCCTTAATGAATGAGGGAGGCAACCTAGTGACAGAGAATGTGGAAAAAGCTAATGTACTCAATGCTTTTTTTGCCTCTGTCTTCACTAACAAGGTCAGCTCCCAGACTGCTGCGCTGGGCATCACAACATGGGGAATAGATGGCCAGCCCTCTGTGGAGAAAGAGGTGGTTAGGGACTATTTAGAAAAGCTGGACGTGCACAAGTCCATGGGGCCGGACGAGTTGCATCCGAGAGTGCTAAAGGAACTGGCGGCTGTGATTGCAGAGCCATTGGCCATTATCTTTGAAAACTCGTGGCGAACGGGGGAAGTCCCAGATGACTGGAAAAAGGCTAATGTAGTGCCAATCTTTAAAAAAGGGAAGAAGGAGGATCCAGGGAACTACAGGCCAGTCAGCCTCACTTCAGTCCCCGGAAAAATCATGGAGCATGTCCTCAAGGAATCAATCCTGAAGCACTTACACAAGAGGAAAGTGATCAGGAACAGTCAGCATGCATTCACCAAGGGAAGGTCATGCCTGACTAATCTAATCGCCTTCTATGATGAGATTACTGGTTCTGTGGATGAAGGGAAAGCAGTGGATGTATTGTTTCTTGACTTTAGCAAAGCTTTTGACACCGTCTCCCACAGTATTCTTGTCAGCAAGTTAAAGAAGTATGGGCTGGATGAATGCACTATAAGGTGGGTAGAAAGTTGGCTAGAGTGTCGGGCTCAACGGGTAGTGATCAATGGCTCCGTGTCTAGTTGGCAGCCGGTGTCAAGTGGAGTGCCCCAGGGGTCGGTCCTGGGGCCGGTTTTGTTCAATATCTTCATCAATGATCTGGAGGATGGTGTGGATTGCACACTCAGCAAATTTGCGGATGATACTAAACTGGGAGGAGTGGTAGATACGCTGGAGGGGAGGGATAGGATACAGAGGGACCTAGACAAATTGGAGGATTGGGCCAAAAGAAATCTGATGAGGTTCAATAAGGATAAGTGCAGGGTCCTGCACTTAGGACGGAAGAACCCAATGCACAGCTACAGACTAGGGACCGAATGGCTAGGCAGCAGTTCTGCGGAAAAGGACCTAGGGGTGACAGTGGACGAGAAGCTGGATATGAGTCAGCAGTGTGCCCTTGTTGCCAAGAAGGCCAATGGCATTTTGGGATGTATAAGTAGGGGCATAGTGAGCAGATCGAGGGTCCCTTAACTCAGGTCCCTTCCAACCCTGATATTCTATGATTCTCCGCACAGATGAGCATTTTAAGTGTGACACTCTAGCAGAATAAAGTCTGCATAGAATCAGAATATAAGGCTGCAGCTGCACTGCTTGTGGTGGGGAGACTAAGCCACCAAGAGCTCTCCTGTCAGCCTAACTACTGCCTCTGCGAAAGGCATAGCTGTGTTGTTGGGAAAAGCTCTCCCGCCGACATGGTGCAGTCTGCACTGGTGCTTAGGTAAGGGTAATTTACAAAGCTCAGGGGGGTGGATTATTCACACCCCAGAACTACGAAGTTATTCTAGAGTAACCTGTAGTGTAGACAAGGTCTTAGTGAGGAATTCAAACATCCACTTTAGCAATGTAAGATTAGCATTATTAGGGGTATGTCTATAGCGCAACCAGGGCTGCGTGACTGACTGCAGCTCACGTAGCCACACCCACACTCGCTCCACTGGCTGGCTTACTAAAAACAATGGGGAGGACATGGTGGCACAGGCTAGCAATGCCAGTAAGTACCCAGGGGGCTTGTGCAGCTCACACTGAAGCCTGGGCGTCCTGTCCTCACTATTTTTAGCGAGGCTAGCTAGATGAAAGTAGTGCAGGTACGTCTACATGAGCGGCAATCACACACCCGGCTGCAGTGTAGGTATAGCCTATAGCACGGTAAGTAAAGAATTGCAACTTGGGAACCGTTCGGATTTAAATAAAAGTTGGTTTGTTAGTTGTTTCAGGTTTGTATCCACCAGCCATTCTTCACTGGGATTGACCCTTACGGTCCTTAAGGATCTCACAGCATGACCAAGAGGTGTATTAATCCTGGTGTCCTGGCCTTTCATTTCCCCTGCATTTTAACTGCACAGTATTTCACTTTGTGCTCTGAACAGCTATGCTGCTGGGTTCAGTTAAATAAATGCCTTATTCTTCCCAAAGCTTGGCAACAGAAAATTGCACAGTTGCAACTTGTGTTGGTCCTGAGAGTCCAGCCTAACTCTCCTGTTTAAGGTGCACACACCATGCCATGTCCACAGGCAGCATAGCGGGATTGCCCTGGGAGAACTCAGGGCTCTGCTGGAGCTGCATCACTAGAATTTCATGCCGAAGCAGGAATTGCATTGGTGCAGTGACCGAGGATGGGGTGCATTAGGGCAGAGCCTTGCTCAGTGAAAGTGTAATCACGGTGGTGATTCTTCCCCACTGGAAGATGTATGTGGGGGAGCGGATGCATTTTCAGGCCTGACGGGCGTTTCGCACGTGTTCTAGCATAGAAAAGACTTCAGAAGGGGCTGTGTTTCAGTCGTGGGTGATGTGAGTTGTGCCTGTAGCTTGGGAAGCCATTTGCAGCCTTTCAGAAAACAAGGCACTATCTAAATACCAGTCTATATTTGTGTGTGTGTGTATATACACATACATACATACACACACACACCCACACACATACACATACACTGAGACTCCAACCAGAGACTGCTGAATTGGAATTAATTTGCAAACTGGATACAATTAACTTAGGCTTGAATAGAGACTGGGAGTGGATGGGTCATTACATGAAGTAAAACTATTTCCCCATGTTTATTTCTCCCACCCCCACTGTTCCTCAGACGTTCTTGTCAACTGCTGGAAATGGCCCACCTTGAGTATCACTACAAAAGGTTTTCTTCCCCACCTCCCCGCTCTCCTGCTGGTATTAGTTCATCTTAAGTGATCACTCTCCTTACAGTGTGTATGGTAACACCCCTTGTTTCATGTTCTCTGTATATATAAATCTGTAGTTTCCACTGAATGCATCCGATGAAGTGAGCTGTAGCTCGCGAAAGCTGATGCTCAAATAAATTGGTTAGTCTCTAAGGTGCCACAAGTCCTCCTTTTCTTTTTGCAAATACAGACTAACACGGCTGCTACTCTGAAATCTATATTTGACCAGTAGTTCTGGATGAGTCGGGCAATGAGGTCTGCACCACAGAGCTCAATGGATCCTGAGTGACAGCCCAGTCTAGTGGACCAAGCAGAAACTGGGCATCAGGCATTGCAGATGTGCCATGCTCATGGCACCACTGCCTTGCTGGCTGACGCTGGGGGAGTCATTAACTACTGCAGATAGGGAAACAATGGGGATTATACCTCCCTTCCCAGTAGGGGGATTGCAAAGCACTACTGTACACACCAAGTACTATCACTAGAAGAAAGCTTTTAGTGCCTTGGTTCCTGAAAGAGGCAACCAAGAGCAAGAACAGCTTAATTCAGGGCCCCCATCTCTCCCAGGAAATGCCTGGCACTGCAGAATTTTCTTTATTGGCAAGACTGGAGCTAAAATAGCCACATCCAGACCCTTAGCAATGTGGGCAATGTTTACACAACATACCTGCTTACAGACTGTACTATGAAAAGCTTCAGTGGAAGACACCCAAGCATACTAGTAACGGCCTTGAGGAAACAATGCAGGCATACTTCCAACCCGAAAAAGGATAAAATAGCATCCAACAGCTATATATAGAACAGCTCCATAGACAATTCACACCCCGTGTAATACAATAACCCACGCCTAGGGATGCACTGGGGAGATCCTGGGATATCCTGTAGTTAAAATCCTGGGTCTCCCAAGAGATGGCCAGTGGAAGAGCTACTCATGAAAGCTTTGGGGATATCACTTCCAAACATGGGACAGGGAAACCAGAAAGTTAACATGTCAATTCCAAGGCTCTAACACAAGTGTACATCCTGGCAGACAGCAAGGCTGCACGCATGTGGGCTGAGTGAGTGTTGCATCTGTGGGGTACAGAGATGGGAAAATCTGTGTTAATTGCAGTGTTATCTTCCATTGCATCAGCATGCTCTGACAGAGCAAGCCCAGGACAGCCTCAAAGAGGTTGCTTTGCAGCTAGAGATGTGTCTCAGATTTTCAGTAGCTCTTGAGTATAGGAGAAGCTGGGGGGGGGGGGTGTTACCCTCCCTCTGCCATGACCCCAAAGGAGGGGGGAGCTGCTATTTTGGAATGCCTGTTCCCAGCAAGCCAACCGGTTTAGTAGCAAAATGTTTCATAGCTAAATCTTTGTCACTTCACAAATAAACTGCTTCAGAGTTAAAAGTTTGGCCTTCCAATACATTAAGTTATTGACATTTTTAATCACAGGCTAAAATGTTCAAAAATACCCTAAAGTCTGGCTCCTAAGCCTATACTTAGGCACCCAAGGGTGTGACTTCGGAGCACAAGTCCCATTGACTTGCAGCTGGGAAGTTGCTAGATAAAACACCCGACACCATACTACATAAAGCCTAGAACTCAACCAACAGCTGGCCCCAGAACAGCAGTGAGGAAGTAATTCATCAACAGCTTTGTCTTGTCATCAACGCAAAGCTGTTCAGGAAAGTCAAGTGTCAAAACACATCTGAACCCCAGGACAAGTTTAGAGAAGAGCAGGAAATATACGTACTTATTGGCTCGGATTCCTTCCCTGCGAGAGGCCAGGCCTTCTGCCACGAGAGACTCGGCAATGTTCTCCCCAGTCGTGTCTGGTAAGAGGGGAAGAAATGAAATCAGATTCACTGAGAGCAAAATTCTGAGTGCTGTCACTGCATAGCATCTCTTTGGACGAGAGACAGTTATACAGGAGGCTCTTTATAGACAAAAAGTCTTGTGACCGAAATATCAATCAAGACAACTACTGGAAGCAACAAACTAGGAGGCAAAGGGAGGGCAAGGTTAAAGATACTTCGATGGAAAGTTAGGCTTGTTATGTGCACACCTTGGCACCCCCATTGTCCATCTACACCAGTAGCTCTCAACCCACAGCCCATGGGCTGCTTGCGGCCCAATCAGCACACAATTGCACCTCATGTGACATCCTCAGGGCCATACAGGTAGTATATACATTGTGTGGCTGCAGCCCACATAAAACAGAGAGCTGCATATGCAGCCCCCGATGGTAAACAGGTTGAGAACCACTGGTCTACACGTTAGTGGATTAGATGTTTACAAGGCACGATGTTAACAGAACAGCCATAATGCTTCACTAATTTCAGAAGGAATTCACAGGCAAACTTGCTGGCATGGTGGCCACCAAGCAAGCATGGAACTTATAATGTTTTCTATTCAAATCCAGCCCCAGCTCAGTGAAGACTGGAAGGCATTACCAGCGACAGGCATCCGCATCTGGCAATTTTGGCTGAGAAGCCAAGGATTGAATGGGATAGTAAACGGAACGATATTGGCAAGGCGGGGGAACAGTAGAGTGAACTTTGCCTTGTGCCATCTGGGCTCTAGAGGGGCTTCTGTCCCCACAGTTACCATTAACAACTTTCACCATCACAAACCACCACCCCCACATGGAATATAGATCACTGCACCCATGAAAAGCATGAAAAGCACTTTAGCATAAGTGAACTCTGCTTACAGCTGACAGTTAATTCCCCAGCTAACCACTTTCACCCAGTCATTTTGGAGTTTGATTCGCATTTCCTCCAAACTACCACCTTGACAATCCCTCCACACACTCGGAGAGGTGAAGAAGGGGTTGGCCAGAAAACAGGGTTCTAGCAGCTGCCACGTGGCCACTTCAGGCAGATTTCCTGGAAGTGATTTCAGGAGCCCCAGTCTCACAGACCACCAATACCACTGAGTGTCACTTTGCCCCAGGGAACACCTAGATCAAAAGTGCCAGTCTGGTGGCACCATGATACAACAGGCACTGGTTGTCAAGGAGGAGTTTAGTGTCAGCAAAGCACAAGGATAAAAATGTATGGGGCATGCCACTCTGATGACAATTAAGGCAAGGGAAGAGGGAAAGAATAAGGGAGAAAATCTGACATAAGATCTGCACATCAGTCTGGGAAAAAATATTTATACGTGACCAGGTCATCCTCTGTAGCAGAAGCCATTGCATAGGATATGGAGGTAATTATATGCAACAGGATCAAAGGGGCTTTTGAAATGCCACCAGAAAAAAACAGAATTCTAATCAAACGCTGTTGTCCCGGGGAAGGGTGAGATCATCAACTGCTACGATAACACACAGCCGCACAAACACTGATTCTGTGCAGAATCAGCCAACTTTGTGGCTAATGTGGCAGCGACGGGTCACACCTGACCACAGCCATCAGAGGGTATGTCTGACAGGCGTCCACAGAACAGACACCGACTCAGACATGGGGTTCTCTCCAGCCTGAGAGGCTGGAACAGTTTGTTGGCAAGGAAGGGAGCAGATTAGTAGTAGGAACTGACAACTTGGGTGATCTGAAGGGGTAAGGTTTTTGCTTTGCTCTCCCCGCAAGTTCATGGCCTACCCAGATGAGGCTGCAGCAGCCTCTGGCTCTAAGTACATTCGGAATGAATCCATGTCAGATTTCCTCAGACATTTCTAGAACTGTAACAATCCTTTTGCACTTCATAATGGGGGAAAACTCTCCTGTTAGCCATCCAAAAGAAGAAATAAGTGATGCTACATCCTCAAAAGAGAACCAGAAGGGGAGGACAAATCCAGCTTGGTTTTAAGGTCGCAGCTGGGGTGTTCCAAATTCATAAGGTGTGCGCTTCTCCCACTCTGCTCAGCCCAAAGCTAAGAACAAGTTACAAAGGTTACAGACTTCTGACCACTAATAGAGAGCTAGAATCCAGCTGGAGGAAGGCACCTGTCTGGTGAGGCTCTTGGGGCATTGTTAATTGTATTGACATCTTGACAAACTTCATCAGGAAATGTTTTATGCTTCGTCTATTCATCTAAATCCTGTCCTGTCACACAGTTTAACAATAAGGGAGACACCTACACAGGAAGCCTGTCATAAAAATCTTTTATGTGGCAGAGAACAAGGAGGAAGAACACTGAAACAGAGCACTTAAACCGATAGCAGTGTCACTTCAGAACAAAATCCTTTCAAGATTTATTTCCAGCAGACTAACACTTTGCTTCTGCCTTCTGATGATAAATACACGAACGCTCCAGGATTCCCAACAAAAGAATGGATTTTGTACAGAAGCCAGGGAGTTGCAGAGACAGTGGTCCTCTCCCAAGGAGTCAGTCATAGCATAAGCTTTTCAAAAGGATTATGGGTGCAGATTATCCCACAACTGGCTACTGAGGGGGTTCTCACACCTCCCTCTGAAGCATTTGGTGCTGGCCACTGTTGGAGACCAGGCCAGATGCATCATGGGTCTGATCCAGTCTGTCAATTCCTGTGATACGCTGGATAGCTCAGACACTGGCAGGGCAGCAGCTTATCTCTGTCACTGGTTCAACAGCAACCAATAGCAGTTACTGTTGGCAGGCTGGTGACAGGTTACATACAGCTGCAGCCCCTTATTGGAAGGCCTGGGAGAGACCAAAGAGTGAATGGTCCTTTAGTTTGTACGAGGGGGAGGAGTTGAGCATGCTGGCAAGGCAGGCACCCCCTATACCCACTTCTGGCATTGTACCTGCCATGGCCTGGACTCAATTTCCAGGTCTCTCCTGAGCAGAAACTCAAGTTGGATCATACTGGTGTTAGCGAGTTAGACAGGACTGACAGATGGGAGTTCAGGAAAGAGCAACAGAGTGGAGATCGGACATGGGCAGCTGAGAGACCACTTGGCTACACCGCTACGGAGGAAAGCCCTGAAAACAGTGGGAATAGGTGACTACGAAGGGGTTACCATAGCCAAAGAGAAATAAGTAGGGGCAGCAGGAGGACATTAAGGAAGTCTACTTGAGCAGAGCCCTGGTGAAGACTCCCGACCACGAGATGCAGGAGGCTGTGCACTCAACCTTTAGGGAAGGGGTGGAAGCCACAATGCTTGGGACTTGTAAGAACCTACGGTTCTTATCTGGCCCCCATGTCTCAGTCTTTAATGCACTTATCCTCCTATGCCCCTATAAGGTAGAACAGGAGGGGGAAACAAGGCCCAGAGACAGAGACTCACCCAAGGCCAGATGCGGTCTGTACCAGAGCACAGAACTGGCCTAGGTCTGCCAAGTGCCAGGCTAGTGCCCTAAGCACTGGTACCCATCCTTCCCTCCTAAGGGCAGCAGCAGCCAGACTGGATCAGATGAGCAGTCCATCTAGTGCCATGTCCTGTCTCCAACTGCAAGCTGCTCCAGAGGCTGGGGCAATAGCAGTGATGGGACAACCTGACTCCAGGGAAAATTTCCTGCAAGTGCCCATTAGAGGTTGGCTCATGCCCTGAAGCATAAAACACACAGGTTTAGCAGGGAACAATCCCTTGCATGCAGCGAGATGGAAAAGACTGAAGACTCACTAGTGACCCAGACACTCTGAAGGCTGATGAAAGTTATGCTCCTGTTAAGTCTACAGCTAGGTTAGGACAGCACTGTATGACTGGGTAGCATTATCCTTTCCCTTTTTGGACAGTGACCCAGCAGCTTACTGAACATTGGCTTGGGTTCAGCCTTCTCCCCTGGACACTTCAGATCCTTGTGCACTGGACTGACAGCTGAGGAGCAGGAACTAACTAATCCAGCATGGGGAGGGAGGGGGAAGCAAAATGCATTTGCCCTATTTAGGCAACAAGAGGCCAGTCCTATTCAGCTTCTTCAGCCACCTCCCTGCGTGAACCAGAACGCCTGTCCCCGCAGACACAGGCGCTGCCTGCATGGGTGCTCTGGGGCTGGAACACCCACAGGGAAAAGTAGGTGGTCAGAACCCACCAGCCACAGTTGTTCAGGGGCACCACTGCCAACCAGGGGCATCACCAAACAGCTGATTGGTGACTCAGGGAGGGGCTCGGCGGAAGCGGGAAGGGGCGAAATAGGGGCAGAAAGAGGCAGAGCAAGTGTGGGGCATTGGGGGAAGGGGGGAGCACCCCTCGGGAAAACCAAAAGTCAGCGCCTCTGCCCACAGAGACCCAACAAGCAGTAAAGGCAAAGGGAATAAGCAAAACAGACAATAGTGAACAAAGAATGGAGAGAACAGGAGAAAGGAAGGGAAATGTAGCATGGAGAGGAAGGCAACCAGGGCTGTCCTCCTGTCAGTCCCCCTCATTTTTACTACCAATGCGCACCTGGAGTTCAGGGAAGAGGAAAGCGATAGTACCATGGGCATAACAGTGTGTTTCATTCCAGAGCATCCTCTAGGAGCTCTTTGAAGGTCTCCCATTCAAATGCTGACCTGGCCAACTATTACTTAGAGTCTGCAAGGTCTTTAACCCCACTGCACCATTTTGGAATAAGCCTTACTCAGATTCCAAGGCCAGAAAGGACCACTGTGATCATTTAGTCTGACCTCCTCTATCACACAGGCCAGAGACCTTCCCCTAAACAAGCCCTAGAGCAGAGCTTTCAGCAAAACTTCTAGGCTGGATTTAAGAATTGCCAGTGATGGAAAATCCAGCACAACCCTTGGTAAATTGTTCCAGTGGTTAATTACCCTCACTGTTAAATGTATGCCTCATTTTCATCATGCATGTATATGCGTTCCAAAGGGGTGCTTACACAAGAACGGGGCTAAAAAATTAGAAGCCTCTGAGTCATTGTATAAAGTCCTCATGCCCCCAGACTCCCTACCATTTTAAAAGAATAAATCAAGCTGTGCCCAACTTGTGCACTGCTTTTAACTGTGACCTGATGACAATCGACTCTGTCAATGAAAAGCAAAATGACTTCCTATGCGTGTCTGGCTTTTGTTGGACACTCATTCTTGTTTCTCTCCACGTCTTGTCAGTCTGTGGTGTCTCTCTGTTGGTTTGTGTCTGTTCCCTCTCTACCCAACACCTTATAGCCTCTTTCCTCACATGCTTCTCTCTACCCAAGCTTTGCTTGAATTTCCTCCCCCCAGCTTAGTCTTAGCAAGGGTAAACCACCATTGGAGCCATTTACCAAGGGTTGTGGTGGATTCTTCATCACTAGCCATTTTTAAAAATAAGGGTGTATGTTTTCCTAAAAGCTCTGCTCTAGGAATTATTGTGATGTTCTACGGCTTGTGTTATACAGGAGGTCAGATTAGACGATCAGAGGGTCCCTACTGGCCTGGTAATCTTTGAAAGCACCCAAAGGCCCCCAGAAATCAGAATCAGGGCCCCATTATGCTGGGAGCTGTGTGTGTATGACCGCCTTTTCCCCCACTCTTTCAAAAACTCCTGGAGTGGGGAAGAACACAGATTTGGGTTTCTGACCCACTCCATAGCAAAGGACAAGGATGTACAAACTAAATTCTCGGCGATCAGCAGAACAGAAACAAGAGCATGGACTGATGAATGCTCAGGGCATAAAATGTTTTCTAGTCGAGCTCAACTTCAGACCACACAACTTGCCTTCCTCTTCCTTGAGCCCCAGCCCCTCCTCACTGGAACTAGGCCTGCGGATATTTATGGCAGCTGGGCCACTTTTACAGCTCAGATCCTTTTCCCTTGCTCCACAGGTAGCTTTGCCCCTTTATGCATGCTGGAACGACCCTAACAGACTCCGTCTAAGCATGCTGCTCTAGCTCATTGCAAGCTGCTCAGTGACGCTTTGTATGAAGGAAGCTGTAAGTTATAGAACATTCAAAAGCTAAACTAAAGCAACGGCCTAAAAAGGGCAATGGGCGCATTCAAAAGTGCTACTCCCATTTTATGGGTGCCAGATCACCCACTTCTGAGTCACTGTTCTCAAGCAGCACCATGGGTAACGAACATCAATTCTCACTGTACTGACCAACACACAACAGTCCAAGGATGCTAACGAAAAGGGAGCTAGGAGAACTCCTTTCCGTTGCCTGTCTCCAGTTGACTAAAGCCACAAGATTTATAATGGCAATAAGGGCTGCAAAAGGAAATCTAAGGGAATTCAATTAGCACCATGACCTGAAGCAGCCTGGAGCCCAAACACATTCAACAATGACAGTCTGCAGCTCCAGCAAAGCAAACTGCACTATAGGAACCCAGCATCCAACTCCAGAGGTCCAGTAAGAACCCACACCTGAATTTCCCTAGAATTAGTGACAATGCCATAAATGGCAGCCTGCGGCCTGCACTATGGAAGATGCCACAATAGGAAGAAGGGCAATGTACAGCTGGGTGTCAGGTTCACGCGGACTTGCAGCATCTCCAGACTGAGGGGCAGCACGTCACCTCACCCACCTGCATGGCACACTTTGCCCTGTGCATGTCTGGCAGCTCCCTAGCCACTACTCACCTTTCCCAAGGTACACCATGCCGTACTCCCGGCCTTGCGGGGTCTTGTACTCCACAGTGAAGCACACCTCCTTCCCAATGAGCTTCTTTCGCAGGAACTCACGAGCTGGAAATCCCCAGGGCTGGGGGAAAACACAAAACTTAGTCACTGGAGGTCAAAGTGGGCACCATCAGACCCTAAGGGTTCCCCTTCCACTGCTGGACACAGTGCAGAGAGATCTCATAGGGAGGAAGTGTTGCCTAGTAAACAGAGCACTGGATTGGGACTCAGGAGATATGGGTCCTAATCTCACCAATACTGGCCTACTGGGTAATCCTGGGCAAGTTACTCAGTTTCCCCATCTGTAAAATGGGGTCAATGATACTGACCTCCTTCATACTGGGACCTGCTCATGAAAAGAGCTGCGAAGGAGCTAGGTGTTCTCTTGGCCAGACAGCATTTCGCTGCTTCTGCAGGAGACCCCCATGAGGCCACCTGCAGTTCAGTGGTTTGGAAGCCAAAGATACCTGGAGGCATCTAGAGGAAAGTAGGTCTGTCCAGCACTGACAGGTCAGGAGCAGCCCCAGTTAGAAGACAACATTTAAACTATTGCTGTCCTCTTGATCTGCTCCAAAGTAGTCAGGATCACAACCACTCCACAGGCAACAATGAATACTGTCCAGATCGTTTTCCCTGCTGAGACTGAGACCATGCCATAAGGCCTCGGGCTGGCGACAGCTCCTCCCTACTCTCTCACTTGCATGAATTCAGCCAGAGGAAACTACAGATTGAAGATCCTCACAGTAAGAATACAGCTGTGAAATCGCCTCCCCAAGGCACAGGTGGAAGCCCCAACACTAGACAATTAAAGCTGAAGGAAACAGTGCTGGGAAACATACTAAGGAGCAATCCTGGCCTGGGGATGGGGGTCTAAATGAGCTAATGGCTATTTCCGGTCTAATGTTCTACGGTAGTTTGTACGCCCACACTGCCTCATCGGGGGATCTGAGCTCTTCCCCCTCCCCCCTCCCAGTCCTATGCTCCAGCCCACACTCCAACCCCAGAAAGGCTGCAAGGGCACAAACTCAGCATCACATCACCACTGCAGGATCAGGCGGGCAGAGAAAATGGGCTGGGGAGAACACTGTGCTAGCCACCAACAATTAGCTGAACTGACAGGCATGATTTTATAAAGCAGAAGACATTTATACATCTACGCAAGATGTTCAGGAGACAATCTCCCCAGGGAGAGTCTCATTGCAAGGAGACCTGCAGTTTAAGGGAGCTCTATACTGCACCTAACGCAGGGAGGGTGGGTATCCCAGGTTTGGTTTAGTTCTAACTCCACCACCTCTATCCAAAAGAGGACATGGGGCAAGTTCATTACCACTCAGTGAGCAATCAGCATATGCCGCATGCTGCCACCAGGAGCTTTTCTTGCAGCCACAGCCTCCTGGGCTGTTACTGGGGTGGAGTGGGGGGGCCAAAGTAGCAGCCCCTTCCTGTTGCTCCTGGATTCTCCACCTTGGTGTTGATTGCTGGGGCCGCCAGCAGCGGTTGAGCCCTGCTCCCCCTGCGGAGATACTTGAGGCACAACACTGGAGGACCTGGCAGCAGGAGAGTTTCCCACCAAGGGGCGATGAGGTTCAGGCTTTGGGCCTGGCGTGGCAGGACAGCAGGCTCTGGCCACAGGGCTTCAGATTCCAGCCCTCCACTGCCTCCCCAGTCCCCCCATCTAGGGCTTAATTTGTCCCCAGGCTGTTGATGCTGAGTAAGTCTGCTGTGAAGAGTGATACTTGTATGTTTGTTAATATCACCTTTCACAACAGACTTACTAGCTAGCAATAAATAAATTACAATGATTTGGCTGTGTCTATATGCATATTTGTTTTTCCTACAGCTAATTAAGTATTTTAGAAAAAAGTGAGAGCGGCCACCAGCAAGAGTTGGTGGCCGCACTCTGAAGCCACCAAAAAATTTGTTCCGAGAACCTCTGCATTAATGGAAGCAACCAGCTACTCATCCTAAAACTCTGATCTGTCACATGACCCCAAAAGCAAGTCCCTGAACCTTTGTTCTGTTCCCTGCAAATCAACACAACACGAAATGCTTAGATCGGGACCTTACACATGCTGATATCCAACTGCTGCAAATACTCAGCATTTCAGACCAGAAGGGACCATCATGATCCTCCAGTCTGATCTCTTGCACTACACAGACCAGAGAATCCACACAAGGATTCCTCTAGTGTAAGGAATGTCTCCCCTACTGGGGTAGAATACATTCTGGGCCCTTTACTAGTCAGATGGGCTATTTCAACAGGATGTGACCAGAAGTCCATCCTCAGAGCAACTCACATATCAGGACCAGAAAGAGGAGAAGTCAGAAGTGAGAAGTCTCTTCAAACTGGTTTAGGATAGCCCTTTGTTCGTTATATACATTGGCTTGCAGTGCCTACGAAAACATGGCCTGCTTAAGTGAATGTTGCCCTGAAGGTGTCTTAACCACTAAGATGTTCTAGGCTAATTTTTCAGCATTATCCCCAGCCTCACCTCCCCATTTGCTTTGAAATGGGACATGTGGCTACTCTGCCAAAATATTGTTCCCCAAGATGGTGCATCACAGGGGATCACAGTGAACACAAAGTCCTTGATTTTTAGAGCTGGGCAGGAAACTTTTCCTTTTCAATAAATTTGAAAAAAATTCCCACCCCACATCAGGACAATGTCAAAATCTAAACTCTTTGCAAGCCAAACATCCAAAAGAAATTCTGAACAGGTCAACTGTAATATTTCATTTTGATTAAAGCTTAATTTTGAAACTTCAAAAGTTTTTCAAAATTTTCTTATCCATTGAAATTAATCCTTTCCCACAAAGCGTTTTAGTTTGAATGAATCAGCGTTTTCCAACAATATCCATTTACTCAAATTCTCAAACAGCTCTATTTATTCTTCAAACAAGCACTAAGAGGTAAAGCAACTTGCACAGGTTAACAGTTGATCAGCATCTGAAAAGAGAACAGAACCCAGTAACTACACTGAACTCACTGCACCTCACTCTGGACTGAAAAGTTCTAATTTCACCCTAGCTTCCACCCGTTACTGATGTGCCATCTGCAAGCACTTAGCCGCTGATACCCAGCCTCAGACAAGAACACCATGTTCTGGAGGATAGGTGGGGAATTCCTTTCCCCCACTCTTCCAGCAGTGGAAGATCAGAGCTGTGCCATCTTCAGGCACTGACACCAATGCCCTGCAATTAATATGCAGGCCTGAAAGTGAGTGGTTAACTGCCCATATAGAGTACCCTGCTAATTCACCCGCAGCAAGATCCTCCAGTAGATATCCATTGTCTAAACTCCTTACCAAACACTGGACAGGATGTACCAGGCTACTGTATCCTAACAGTATCAGTTCAGACACTGAAGGGAACCCATAGCTGAGTAATTGGAGCCAAAACATTACATAAAACCTCGAGTTACAGGACCCTCAATCTCAGGACAGAATATAATGCAATATAACAGCCCTGGATAATACACCCCTGACCTGGCCCTGTCTCTATGCTCCCTTACTTGGCACTGAAAAAAATGCCCTGCACTCAAACATGGCCAGTCTGAGTGCCTACAGCCAGAACAAGGGGTTGGGAGGAGGGTGTGCTGCACTAATACCTGCCCTTTGGAGCAGGTAGCAATAAGCCTGGTTTTGAGGAACTTTTAAATCCTCTATATTAGCCCTCGAGCAAAGCAGTGAGTCAAAGGCAGCTCAGAGTCTCCTGGGTTGAGTTAGCATCCTGCAGCGTGTAGCTTGTGTCGTGCTAAAGTGAAGCAGGGGACTCTATGGTAATGAGACATCAGCCTTGCAGCTGAAATTTGCTTCGCTCACAGCACAGCCCTGGGTAAGTTCTATAAACATTTTGTGCTGGTGATCCTGGTGGGCAAAAGGCAGCACCTGGAGTCCCATTTATCCCCCAGTGGGGTGCTGCAGAGCCAGCACCTATTCCCATACCCACCTCCCATCCCATGATGCATTTCCCTCCTCCAGTCTCTGCCTCCTTGGAAAAAAACAAGGCTGTACATTAGCATGGAAGATTTACCTGGGGCACTGGAGGGGAAGCTCACTGCTACACTACACAATTACTCAAATACAGAATCTGTTCATTTTAAACCAATAAATTTGGAGAATGACGCCTGCCTGCCTAGCTAAAGAGGGATCTGAGCTGTGAGTAAAACCCTTTTGGGCTGGGCAATTGTGAATTAGTCTTTTCACACACCCTCTCAGATAATCATCATTTCCCTTCCCATCTCCAGCTGTGTCCCATTTGACTCTTAAGCTAAGCAGGGCTGGGCCTGGTCACTACTTGGATAGATAGCACAGAGGCTGTAGGAAGACGCCCTGTGGTTTCAATAGATGGCGCATTCCACTCCCTCTGAACAAGCATTCAACAAACTGAGTGACAACACAGCAACAGGTGAGGACAATTAACTGTGCTCTTCTGTTTCAGCTAAAGAAATGTAAAGACAAAACAAGGCTGAAACAAGAATCTGTCCAGGACTCTGTGCCTGACCCCCAATTCACAGCGCCCCCTACCACCACACTGGGGTATTAGGTCAGCACATAAGGGAGAGCACCCTTACTGCTCTCTGCAGCACAACAGTGGGACTTTGGGATCAGACTCAAGCCCACTCCCTGCAGCACAGCACCCCCACGTGCCACATCTGGGCATTGTGTCTGCACCGACCCCCCCAGCAAGGAGCACCACCTCATGGATCAAGTTACGCTGGTCCACGACCGAGGACTTGCTCTACTGAGCTCTTGATCAGTGCAAAAATCACTGCTGGCTTGAGGTTTACTTTTGGGCGATCTGCCAGGGCTAGGCAGTATTTGGGTGGCAAGCACATTAGGTTATCTCCCTGATTTATTCTAAATTAAGCTCCTGGCCACAGTACTAGGTGCTCTGAGCATGAGGAGTTGAATGCAATCCAGCCTTATGCACCAGCCTGTTGGCCAGCAAGGAAACACCTACCTCATCAGGGGTATCCTTGGCATCTGGCTGTCCTGCAGCAGCCCGGCGGGCGAGGTTTCCAGCACGGATATTGCTGAGGTTGATCTGCCGCTCTGGAGGGGGCCCCCCACGGGGCTGCCCTCGGACAATGATGGCGCAGCCTGAGAGGACCTGCAGGGAGGCAGACAGAGAACATTAGTACTCCAACAGCAAAGTTAAACCCTTGAAGAAGCTTCAAGCATGATATCTGGTTCCACCCCATCCCTGCCTTGGGCCTTGTGCTGACAGGGACCTGGGATCCCACTTACCAGATCTGGAGTTGCACTTCCGCTATAATGGGCCCTTCATCATCAAATTCACCCCACTCAGTTCCTGTATCTAGGCTGTATTCCTGGCACTCATCATTATGTCCAAGCATCACTCTCCCCACTTCCTAACAGCACCTTAAAAATTTCCCCACTTAAACAGGGGTGTTTTCAGAACAGCCATTGTTGGCCCCAATTTCCATTCCCTCCCACACCCTTTCCTGGATGCACCCCCTCAAAGCTCACCAACCACAGCAGATCGAGTTCTGTCAACGGCAAACGCTTCAGACCCAACCTCACTGAGGGAGTTAAACACTGGAGTTCATCTACAGGTGGAATTTTGATAGAACTTTGCTCTTTTGCTGCAAACCTGGATTTTCAAGTCCACAGAAATGGACAATGTACCTGAGCCCCAAGGGACAGCAGTTTGGTTTTACTCTGCTGAACAGCACCCCGGGACCTTAGACTAGAGAGCTCCATGTGCATCCTACCACTGGGCCTCTGCAGTACAGTCAGCTAAGCCCATTTCCAGCCACTACGCAGGTAGCAAGAAGTGTCACTGCTGCAGAAGAGGGTGCCGGGCCCATCTGGAGAGATGCCAGTAGGCAGCTGGGAGTTAGCAGGCAGGAGAAAGTAGTACCCTTTCTGCAGAAGTAAAGCATGGCACAGCTGGCCCCACTGTGACGAAGGAGTGGGCCAGAGGCGAGCTGCCAGACCCAGCACACTGCCAACCAGCAGAGATGCAGTGGGGTTTAGCCAGAAATCATATGACCAGCTTCCCTGGAGCCACCAGGTCAGCCAGCTGCAGATGGATTAGATTCAGGACAAAGAGCACGAATGCCAGATTGAAGTGGAGGTAGCGAGCTGTTCTCCAAGCATTTACAGCAGTGAGCAAGCAGACATGCAGAGCAGCGAGGTGGTGGGTACAGACTACCGGGGTGTGACATTAACAGGACTTCCTGCCCATTCCCCAGGAAGGCACTGCACACGAATTTCTCACCACAGCCAGCGGTAGTGAGCACCCCAGCACTGAAGGTTTGTTTGCAACTGGAGCTTTGTGTGGGCCAGGGAAATGAGCCCAAGAGGAGTTCAGCAGAGCTCAGTCCCTGGGCCTCCTGCTATCAAGTTACTCACACGTGGCACTTGCAAGCCTTGCCTACAGTCAGGGACAGGCAGTCAGCAAGCTGTGCAGTCGCACCACTGCTGACCCCTAGATGCAAACAAGGGCAAGGCAGGTTTTGCACTTCATGTTGCTGCCCCTTTATGCCTGTAAATCCCCAGAGAAATGCACCCAGCTCCCTCTTCTTCGCACCCCACTTCCAGCAGCCCTTCAAGCTATCTCACTAGTAAGCCCACATCCTGCCTCACCCAAGATTAGGGTTGCCAGGTGTCCGGTTTTTCATTAAAAGTCTGGCTGGCGGCACAGCAGGACTAAGGCAGGCTCCCTGCCTGCCATGGCTCTGCGCGGCTCCCGGAAGCAGCAGCATGTCTCCCCTCCAGCTCCCATGCATAGAGGCAGCCAGGGGGCTCCGCATACTGCCACCACCGCAAGCGCCAGCTCTGCAGCTCCCATTGGCTGGGAACCACAGCTAATTGGAGCTGCAGGGGTGGCACCTGCAGATGGGGCAGCACACAGAGCCGCCTGGCCGCGCCCCCATGTAAGAGCCAGAGGGGGGGACATGGCACTGCTTCCGGGAGCTTCTTGAGGTAAATGCCACCTGGACCCTGCACCACTAACCCACCCCCTGCCCCAGCCCTGATCCCACTCCCATCCTCCAAACCCCTTGATCCCAGCCCAGAGAACCCTCCTACACCCCAAACTCCTCATCCTCAGCCCCACCCCAGAGCTTGCACCCCCAGCTGCAATCCTCACATCCCCCCGCCCCATGCCCCAACCTCCGCCTTAGCCCTGATCCCCTTCCTGCACTCCAAACCAGTCAGCCCCAGCCCAGAGCCCCCTCTTGCATCCCAAATCCCTCATCCCCAGCCCCACCCAAGAGTCTGAACCCCCAGCCAGAGCCCTCACCACCCTGCACCACAACCCCCTTCCCCAGCCTGGAGCCCTCATTTCTGGCCCCACCCCAGAATCTACAACCCCAGGCCAGAGCTTGTACCCCACCCCGCACCCCAACCCCCTCTGTCTCAGCCCAGATCCCCCTCCCATGCTCCACCCCCCAGCCTGGTGCCCCCTCCTGCACCTTAAGCCCCTTATCCCTGGCCCCATCCCAGAACCCACACCTCCAGCCAGAGCCCTCACCCCCTCCTGCACCCCAGCCCCCTGAGCCAGCCCTGTGAAAATGAGCGAGTGAGAGTGGGGAGAGCGAGACACAGAGGGGATGGAGTGAGGGGGGCAGGGCAGGGGTGTTCAGTTTTGTAGCAGTAGAAAGTTGGCAACCCTACCCAATATCTGTTCCTAGTCTATTTCATCTGAAACTGTTGGCTCTCCAGGGAAGGGAAGAGGCTTATTCCAATGCACTTAGTAAAAGTCCACACCACCAGGAGCTGCCCCCGAACACATTAGCGGGGGTAGGGGTGTGCTAATGGGAGAATCCTCCCACTTGCAGCGAAGGCCCTGCAGCACCAGGACTGAGCCCTTGTGGCCAACCCCACCTAGAGAATCCATGCTGGGCTTGGCAAAGCAGGCTTTAACAGTCTCAGTTGGCTAGTTCTCCCCAAGCCCACACTCAAGAAACAACCCCCAGCATGTGTGCTAGATTGCTCATTCACTGCAGCCAGACAAGTTCTCTTCTCTAGCTAGGAGGGACTGCAATGAGTGATGTCCAGGCTCCCCCCAGAACTTGGCTGAGACATGTGTCTCCCTCGGCAGTTACACACAGGAGAAACAGCGCAGTCTCGTGGGGCTGAGGAAAGCTGGGCTCTGTTCCCAGCTCTGCCACTGCCCTGCTGGGTGACCATGGGTGAGTTACTTCCCCCTCTCCCTGCCTTCGCTCCCCAGACCCATGTTATTCTGCGGTGATAGTCCCTGCTCCTAAGAGCGTACAGTTACTAAATATTTGCACAGGGCTGAGCACAACAGGCCCCGATCTCAGCAGGGGCCTCTCTATCCTAGATCAGTTCTTTTACCACACTCATCACCACAGTATCTAAACACCATCCCTAGTCAAGCATTAAACAACATGACTCACATCTGCCACACGTTTGTTCTTGGTGCCACCATAATCCAAATACTACAGCCTTCGCTGCGGTCTAATTGCAAGAGCAGTGCCATCACCACGCGTGGGGCCAACAAGCAGGATGGCTGTAGCAGAAGGGGAGAACCAACCAAAACGAACAGGTACCTTAATCACAGGCCAAAGCTTCCCAAGCAGATGTGAGGGGCAATGCAGTGGGAGGGCACTGGCAGCCACACTAACATTTAACACCCATGTTTCATCAGGAATATCCAGCAGAACACACACAGCTGGTGGGGAGAGCAAACGCAGCAGTTCGAGGGTTTTGCTCACTGAGCAGGGCCTGCTGGGAAGGACTGCTAACCTCATTATACTAAGGGCCCAGATTCCCCAGATTTTGGGTTTGTGCGGAGTCAGCATGATTAGCCCCAAGGTAAGGGAGCATCCAGGAGCAGTAACCCTGAGCCAGTAAGGTGAGCATGCCCCAAAGAGCGCAGGCCAGGCCGCCCTGTCCGAAGGATGACCAGGAAGCAAAGCTTGTGTGATACCAGAGGTCCCTGTATAGCTGGCATGAAGACCCACCTGTTGTTCTTGCCTGCCCCACTTGTTCAATCTCCCATTGGGTGCATGATGCAGTGCTACCTGGGGGACTGGATTTCCATGCAATAGCCAGACTGGAAGGGCATTTCCAGACTTCAAAAGGACCTGCATCTAGTCCTGCTTGGACCCAGGGAGAAGGATCACCCAGGAATGACCCACAAATTCTGACTGATACATGTGATCTGCTGCTTAATCTACAGTTTAATTCTCAGTACAGAAAAAAATACAGGGGAAACCTGCCAACTGAGAAAGTAGGAGGAGCTAGGAGATAAGCACGCCCAGCTCCAGGCAATCAACTAGCATCTTACTCCTCATGCAGGGACAGGATTGGTAGAGCATCTAGACTAGGGCACTGCCTGACTGGATCCAGGACCTTAGAGTGCTGGAAATGTTAATATAATTTGTCTGCCCAGAGACCATGCCTTCTCAGCTGGCTGTGCATTTGGGACAGCTTTCATCATTTTGGCTGCGTGGGATCCTCCAGCACCAACACAAACTTGACCTTCAGACCCAAGATTGCTGGTTTCGGTTATCTCCCTCCTCAACATAACTGTGCACCTGCCTGTGTGGTGTACTCAGAAGGCTCTTGTACCCACAACAAGCATAGCCCCCATTCAGCTGCAATCACAAGGGCTGCAAAAGAGCCAAAGAGGGGGACTTGCTCATCAGGTCGCAGGGGACCCTTTTGGGCATCATGGAACCTGGCTTGAAAAATTCACGACCTCTCCTACAAAGCTGGATGCCTAAGCCATCAGTTTCTGCAGGAACTAAGCTTTCATTCTAAGATACATTTTAGCCCATATGTTTGATCTGATGCAATGCTGCCTTATCTAGACTGCATGCACCTCTAGTGCCTCTGTCACTGCTCACTGCTTTGCCTAGGCGCTGGTCAGATTCACTGCCACTTTCTAGAACCCCATGGAACTCTGTACAAAACACATTCATGCAACATCAGGGGAGAACTAAATGCAGAAGAGTCAGGAGTGTCACCTTCCGGTAAATACCCACCGATGGGCAAGGGGTTTGTACTACAGGTGCTGCAGACTCCATGACACTGAACTGCCTGGTTTGGGTGTAATTTCTCCACCATCATATTGCATTGACAATGTCCTGTGCTAGATAAAATGCATGGGAA